AGCTAAACAAATAAGATAGGATAGAAAAAACAGAAAAAAAAAAAGAAAGAAGGAAAAATAAAAAATAAATAATAGATAAAACAAACAGAAAGCTAAACAAATAAAATAGGAAAGGAAAACAGATAAAAGAAAAAGAAAGAAAGGAAAATAAATAAATAAATAATATATATAAAACAAACAGAAAGCTAAACAAATGAAAGAAGAAAAGAAAAGCAAACAAAACGAAAAGAAAAGAAAAAAAAAAAAAAAAAAAAAAAAAAAAAAAACAACGCTGATTCCCGACTCCTTTCCCCTTACACCAGACGCCAGTCCTCGACCAGCTGCAAGAATCCGTGGACTCTTTACGCGAGTCCGTGAGCTCCATGGACCGCCGGCTGCAGTTCCACATGGCCTACGTCTCCGGGGACCTCGAGACGCTCTCAGGATCGGTGAGGGACATCCACGACGCCATCCTGGAGGAGCAGCATCCTACCACCGATGCACACGGTGCCTCCCGGGTAAGTCAGGAGATGGGATCCTGCCGGTCGCTTTGTTTATCAATATTAGCTATTTATTTAGTATCAGGCATGTGTGTGTATATGTATATGTATGTAAACACACACGCACACACACACACACACACACACACACACACACACACACACACACACACAACACACACACACACACACACACACACACATATATAATATATATATATATATATATATATATATATATATATATATATATATTATATATCTTAATTCTTTGGGGAAGGGAAATTTCTGGAATGGGGTTGTTGTGTATTATTGTAAAGGATTAGAATAATGTGATATGTGTCTTACACCTACCTGCGTCTTTAAAACAATAACGTAAGTGGTTTTAATGTTTGTTGGAAATGAGATATACTTCACTTTACAATCTTTTTAGAGAAGAATTACCATTCTGTCTTGAAAAAAAAGAAGCTAGAACATAATAACACTGGTCTTACATCTAGTTCCAGGTACAAACCAATTATTACATCTAATAACCCTACACCTTTCTCTTATTTCAGCACAAATGAATTTAGGAGATTGAAAAAAAATCCCGATTTATCCCTAATGAAATATATAATTTCCAGAAGCAATACGACCCGCCAGTCAGCTCCTCTGAACAAGATTGACTCCCTCGTGAACAAGATGTCCCCCATGGAAACAGTGTGGGAGAAAATGGAAGAGGTAAGTGGACTGAACTAAGAGAGACAGGCAGACAGAATAGGTTTTTAAAGGGGGTGTTTGAACAAAGAAAGACAGAATATGGTTTTAAAGTTTGTTTGAACAAAGAAAGACAGAATAGGTTGTTAGGGAGGAGTTGTTTGAACAAAGAAAACAGACATGATAGGTTGTTAGGGAGGAGATGTTTGAACAAAGAAGCAAAGAGACAGAATAAGTTGTTTGAACAAAGAAACAGACATGATAGGTTTGTTAGGGAGAGGTTTGAACAAAGAAGCAAAGAGACAGAATAGGTTGTTAGGGAGTTGTCTGAACAAAGAAAACAGACATAATAGGTTGTTAGGGAGGAGTTGTTTGAAAACAGAAACAAAGAGACAGAATAGTTTGTTAGGAAGCTGTTTGAACAAAGAAACAGAGTAGGTTATTAAAGGGGAGGCGTTTGAACAAAGAAACACAAGAAGCAGAGGAGGTTATTAGGGGAGAGCTGTTTGAGCAAAAAACAATGATACACAGACTAGAAAAAGTTGTTTTAACAAAGATACAAAGAGACAGAAATAGTTGTTGAAGGGAAGGTGTTTGGACAAAGAAACAAAGAGATAGGATTTTTTTTTTTTTTTTTTTTTTTTTTAGTTATCTGAACAGAGAAACAAAGAGATAGATTTTGTTTAAAGTTATCTGAACTGATGAAGAAAGTAATTTTCACTTATTTGAACAAATGATAAAAAAGTAAACAAACCAAGTCGTAAGAGGGAAGTTATTTGAACAAATAGACAAATAAATAAACAAAATAATTTATAAATCATTTGAATAACAAAATAAATCGCAAGAGTTAAATATTATTTAAACAAACAAACCAAAAAACATAAACAAAAGATGTCAGCAGTGAGTGGCTTCAGCAAACAAAGAAAAACAATTAAATTAGACAGGAGCAGTAAGGCACAAAACGAATTTATGTAAACCAAACAAACTGCTAAACAGAGGAAGTCGAGGAATCCCCGCCAGGCATAAAATCAATTAAAAAATCCAGTGTGTAAAGGACGTTACAAGTTTGTTTTTATTCAAGAAAACGATACAGGAAGAAGGTAAAGGAGGTGAGCTATTTGAAGTAAGAACGAAGACGAAAAGAAAAAGAAAAGAAACAAAAACAAAGAAGGATAAAGGAAAGAAAGAAGGGTAACATGAAGAGGAAGTAAAATTAGATTATATAAACCCTACAAAATAAAACTAAGATATTTGAAGTAAGAACGAAGACGAAGACGAAAAGAAAAGAAAACAAAGAAGGATAAAGGAAAGAAAGAAGGGTAACATGAAGAGGAAGTAAAATTAGATTATATAAACCTTACGAAGCATAATAAAGGTGCAAGACACGCGAAAGTGAAGAGATGCCACATAACATAAGATTAGTTATAACCAAGTTATAGAATAGGTGTTAGTTCAGTTCTTCATAAGCTTGCCATATATAGTAAGTTTTGCTCATAGACACAGTGTAAAAAAGAAGTTATTTTTATCAGCTCAAAAAGAATGACAAGCCAGACATAAAATTCAACTGTATAAAACAAATTATTTACATGATATATATGCCAAAAGTACATCAAATTTGCCCTATGTGCACAAACTAAGTTATATCTTTAGCTAACAAGTTCACTGTGATATGAAATCCTCAGTGATTCCATTTTTTCCAAATTATTTTGTGATTTTTAAATCATGTAAAGCATTGTTGATGTACCTAGTATCAGTAGTAGTATCTCTATTATTATCATTATCATTACTGTTGTGATTGTTGTTATTATATTAGTGTTGTTATTGTTTTTATTATCATTTTCCTTCTTCGTTTTCTTATCATTATTATCATTATTACCCTTATTATCATTATTATCATTACTGTTATGGTTGTTGTTAATATATTGGTGTCATTTTTGTTTTCATTATAATTTTCTTCTCTTCTTATTATCATTATCATTAGTACCCTTATTATCATTATCATCTTAATTCATACTGATATCATTATCCTTATCATCATTATAATCAAATTTACTATTTTCCTGTTATCACAATCTCCAATAACAACCTCACTCCTCCTGTCATAGGTGTGGGACGTCGTGGTTGGCACCAAGAGTTCCGTCGACGTGCTGGTGCCAAAGAGCGAGGCACTCCTGAACACGTCGCAGAGACAGGAGAGGGCCATCTCGACCATCCAATCCGACCTCACAGAAAAGGCTAATCGCATTATCCACAATCTTGGACAGGTTAGAGACACGTTTCACGTAGACACGCTTGGAAGGGAATGAATAAATAAGTTGGTTAGAATGAATGGATTGAGTGTTTGTTGTTGGGGGAGTGGGTGGGGGGGGAGGGGGGTTGAGAGTGTGTGTGTGTGGTGTGTGTGTGTGTGTGTGTGTGTGTGTGTGTGTGTGTGGTGTGTGTGTGTTGTGTGTGTGTGTGTGTGTGTGTGTGTTTGACTTCAGGAAATTAATTCGTTTTTTCTTTACTAGCATTAGCATTAACATAAATGTAATATTATCATTATTCCTACTGTTATTGTTGTTATCATTCTTATTATCATAACTGTCATCGTCACTATTATTGTCATTACCATTATCATTAGTAATCATTGTTAATATTAATAGCAGTAGCATTAATAGTAGTAGTGAGAGAGCGAGAGAGAGAGAGAGAGAGAGAGAGAGAGAGAGAGAGAGAGAGAGAGAGAGAGAGAGAGAGAGAGAGAGAGAGAGAGAGAGAGAGAGAGAGAGAGAGAGCAGAGGAGAGAGAGAGAGAGAGAGAGAGAGAGAGAGAGAGAGAGACAGAGAAGACAGACAGACAGACAGACAGACAGACAGACAGACAGACAGACAGACAGACAGACAGAGAGAGAGAGAGAGAGAGAGAGAGAGAGAGAGAGAGAGAGAGAGAAAGAGAAAGAAGAGAGAAAGAGAAAGAGAAAGAGAAAGAGAGAAGAAGAGAAAAGAGAAAGAGAAAGAGAAAGAGAGAGAGAGAAGAGAGAGAGAGAGAGCCCACACCACCCCCACCACATCACACCACCCTTCATAACCTCACCCTTCCCTCTCTCCTCCCCCCTCCCCCCCACAGGTCGAGGAGCGCCTGAAGACGATGCCCGTGGACGGAAAGCCCCAACGTGACCACATCAACCCCGTGTCCCTTCTCCACCGCTCGACCCAAGGCCACGTGCAGGACGACGCACCCATCGAGATAGACCCGCCCTTCGACCTCCTGGACCAAGTGAGTTGCGCCCCCGCTGCGTCCTTTTGGGGGTAGAGGGGGTGGGAGGGGAGGGGGAAGGGGTAGGGGTAAGAAGGGTGGGATGGGGGATGGGTAGGGGGTAGAGGGTAGGAGTGGGAGAGGGGGTAGGGGGTAGGAGGGTAGGGGGGTGGGATTAGGAAGGGTGGAGAGGGGGGGTAGGAAGGGCGGGAGGGATGGGGGATGGGGTAGGGGGAAGGGTGGGAGAGGGTAGGGAGGAGGGGTGGGAGGGGGTAGGGAGGAGGAGTGGAGAGGGTAAAGGGGGGAGAGGGTAGGAGAAGGAGGGGTGGGGGTAAGGGGTAGGTATCCGAATGGAATGTAATGTGTTGTAAACATTATGCTGTAATCATTTTTTTTTAGATAGTATGATTTAGATACAATTAGAAGGGATATAAGAAATCATATACACATAAACACATACACACACACGGAATATGTTAAATATAGACTGACACCTTACTGTGTTTGCATATTGTTGTTAGGGTAATTTTAATTATTAAATCATATTATGACCTTTTGCATTTTGACATATATATAGAATTCATTCTATCTCTTTGTACAGTCACTTTGAAATTTACTCTTACTACGAAAATTTTTGTTCCTAAAATTTATAAAACTTGATATGACAATAATAATTTTCTTACTGTGTTATCATTTAGAACACACTATTATTATTACACCTGCCATTACCTTTTACACAGCCATCACTGTCATTTCATACACACTGTTACCACTCTTAGCATATGCTCCACACTACCATCACTCCCATCACATATTCCACACTGTTACCACTTAATAAACTGTATATTCCACACTGTTACCATTCCAACTGTATATTCGTCACAGTTACCACTCAATATATTCCACACTGTTACCACTCTAATTGTATATTCCGCACTGTTACCATTCCAACTGTATATTCGTCACAATCAATATATTTCACACCACTCAAATTGTATATTCCGCATTGTTACACTCTTATATTCTGCTATAGTTACACTCCCACACTCACCAACACTTTACGACCACCCTAACTATATATTCACACTCTTCACCCTCATCACATTCTCCCTTCAGCCACCACAACTCTTTCACTACCCCCTCTCCCCGCCCCCCCCCTTCACACAACCCCACCCCACCCCCCTCAACCACACCCACACATACCTCTCGACCGGCCATCGGAAGAGAGCAAACCAAGCCGTTCTTGGGACGTTGCAAACGAGCTAAATAGGCTTCCTTACAGACCTATTTACTGGAGAGGAATGTAACAGATGCGCCCACCACCACTGAGAGAACGCCCGTGGGTCCCTCCGGCTTGGTGTTCCCATCCGTTCAGAAGAAGCCGGTGATTCTCAACACCACGTTCATGATCAACGAACTGAACGACCAGAAGAAGGTAAAGTGATAACGGTAGAATGAGGAAATAGATTGGTGGTTTACAGTCCTCGTTTAAGGGGGGACTGTGGACGAGCTGTTTGACGGTTTGTTTTGGAGAAGAGGGAGGTTTTTTGTTTGTTTTGGGGATGGAATTTACTTTTATTAGTACTGGTATTATTTGTTGTAGTCGTAGAAGTAGCAGTAGTACAGTTGTTGCAGCAACATCAGTGCTATAGGTAGAGAGATGTTGCGTTTGAGAGGTTGAAATACTTATTTGCCAATAATACAATATATCTAAAGTACATACACTTACAATCCGGTACAAAGTAGTCTGCTGAGCCAAGTTCCTTTAGCAGTAGAAGCAGTAGTAGTAATGGGCTCGGTAGAAGCAGCAGTTGTAGTAATATTAGCAGTAGTCATGCAGTAGGAAAAACAGATGTTATGAATGGAAAACAAACAGAAATACAAGATTATGCAAGTAGAAGGTATCCACTTTAGTATCAGCATTAGGTGTGCTTATTCGAATAACAAGCTTAACAAAAATTGCTTCACGACATTGTACCAACAACACTTTTATAGCTACATCAATTGATACACAAACAAATTTCATAATGATCAAAATGCAAAAAAAAAAAAAAAAAAAAAAAAACATTACTTAAGCAATAAAGGTGCATTTGAACTTGCTTAAAGGTATTATTTGTCAAAATAATGTCATAAGGCCTAAATATATAAATACTATATACTTAAACAACCTAAAACTTTATACATGAGCGGCCTAAAAGTTATTCCTTATATTTCCCTAAAATTTATCTATATAAAAGGACTAAAATGTTTGTTTGTTCTAAATGCCCTAAGTATTTGTGAAAACAGCCTATGCGTGATCTAATTTAGAAATACTCATAAAAAATCCTTAATGGATATATGTCTCAATTACTTCTACTCAAAATTCATATCTGCCTGAAAGACTATGTGAATATCTAACTAGAAAGGCTAAGCTTATAAAAAGAAAAAAAAAAAAAAAATAGTACCATCTAAGTAACTTTAAAGAATTATTGTATAAATAACGTAAGTATACACCTATTTAAACATATACCGAACACGCTAAAAGTTATCAAAACATCATTTAAATTGCCTCTTAGTAGCTAAAATTTAAAGGTAACGCAAGTTATTAATATCTGCCTAAACAACCTAAACCAATAACTAATCTAATTGCCCCTTAAAGGCAGTACACCAATCCAAACGACTTCCTCAACCATCTCAATAACCTGACCTCTCTTGACCTCTCTCCTCAGCAAGGGTATTCGTGCGGTGACCTCAGCAAGAGAGGCATGGTAGAGAGTGGGACTTACTATCTCAAGATCCGTGGAACAACTTACTGGTTCTTGAAGGTCTACTGCGATATGGACACTGCTGGAGGTGGATGGACGGTGAGTGATCTCTTGCTGGGTTGTTTGTCATGCAGTGATATAAATTAACCAATCCCCTAATCTTAATTCCCTAATCCACCAATCAGCCAATGACAATGGCTATTAATCACCCAATCAGACTTATCAGCCGGTTTGTTAAAATTGTGCCAAGCCCGACCCAAACCAACCAATCCCAGCCTTAATTCCCCATACCCCCAATCCTCCAATCAGGCAGTGACGCCACCAACCACCCAATCCCCAACCTTAAT